ACGTAAACGTAAACGTAAACGTAAACGTAAACGTAAACGTAAACGTAACGTAACGTAACGTAAGTAACGTAGAGAGAGAGAGAGAGAGAGAGAGAGAGAGAGAGAGAGAGGGATAGTCAGTTAAAATAGGAAAGTCCTGACCAAAAGACTCACAAAAAATGTATCCTGAAATTTTGGAAGAAATCATTCTTAGAAAGACTGAACAGCTTAAAATTCAATAGATTCATTTGAATTCTAACATATTACATAAGAAAGCACAAAGTCAACAAATTTTAAGCACTTAAAACAGTGTCATTCCCAATCACGAGAGAGCCTGTGAGAAAGAGAGGTAAACAGACTACTCCATGATCAACTTAGAGAGAGAGAAGCATGAGCTAACCTCGCAATCATACTCGAGCAGTACTGTCGAGAAATCTATCATCTTTGATGAGGAATCCAACTCCTGCTCCATCGAGGAACCCATGGACAACACCACCAACTTACCGATATGGGTGAATGCGGCCAAGTACTTGCCATGGGGGGATACTGCCATCTTCTGAATGGGGCCCAACCCCTCCCCTACCCTCTGCACCACGTCCTCCTCCACCACCAAAATGTAATCCTCCACTGCCAGCAGCACCTCCACATTCCCTGACATCGTATGCTTTGGCTCTATCACTGCCATACACAGCGGTGGCTCCTCCAGCCCCGGGTCTGCAAACTTGCATGGCCTCAGATCCTTCAAATCTGGCACACAAAATATCAAATTGCCCTCAGTAAGGCAAACCACCCCATTGCCCCAAAACACACACTCAACCACATTCTGCTCCCTGCACTCTCTGCCCATTGAGAGGGAAGGTTCTAGGATGTGAGCATGGATGTCATAAAAGAAGAGGGTGCCATCCTGGACGAGACAAGCAAGAGTTTGGTGGTCGGTCCATGCCATGGCAACGAGGCGGCCCCCAGGACGGTCCCAGACAGTGGACGCAAGAGGTATGCCAGCAGCGTTGAAAATTTGGAGCTTGCGGCGCGCGGGCTCTGAGAGGAGCTGGATGATCTTTGACTCATCACGCAAGGCCGCGATGGGCCCACCAAAGGGGGCGCAGGCGAGCTTGTGGCGGGAGAGGTCCATGTTGCGCCAGCACATTGAGTATAACTCCGGCTTCTGGTAGTAATGACTCGAGAGGATCTGCCATTCTGCGGCCACAGAGACCGACATTGGAAGATAATGGAATGGAATGAAAGACCTAAATGGGATCAAGAAATTCTATGGTTTCTCATAATGTCGAGGAGGATGATGATGGGCTATTTTTGGGGGGGGGGGCGGGGAGGGGAACATTAATGACCTTGGTTTTGGTTTTCGAATAGCCCTAGTTTTGGACGAGGAGCCTAAACTAGGGGGGACAGGAGGGGGGGGGTGAGAGGAACGTTAATGACCCTGGTTTTGGTATTTGAATAGCCCTGATTTTGGACGAGGAGCCTAAACTAGGTAGTTTTGGAGGAGGATGGAGAGGAATGTAAGGTTTAGGGGAGTGCTAGGGCTCAGGTTGATGCTATCTCTTGAGGAAGCAAGAGAAATACAAGGAAGAAGTAACACAAAGTCATACTTTTGTGGGTCTGTTTGGACGACAATTAATTCTATCACAATTATACTGCTATATCTGAAACTGGTATATTCTGTGTAATGTTAACTTTTTTGTTGTTTGGCAGGTATTATTGCACACTCCATTCTATCTCCCAATCATGTTATATGTTGTTTGGATGAGGTTAACTCAAACTTCTTTTCTAGGGTTTTGGTATCAATGAAAAAATCACCAAACGACTTGTGATATAATTAGGGTTGCATTTGCAGAAAAGATGTTGTACTATGGTGATATGGTGATCCTTGGCCCTGATCTTGCATCATATAAACCTTTGTTTACGTTACCATGAAGAAAATCCCTGAAATGCATCACCAAAACAACAATTCTAATACAATTAAAAACCAAAACAGAATGGAAAATTGCTCAAAATAAAAGTGAGGAATTAAACACAAATTAAAGTAGCTTAGTAGTATTTAGAGGAATGAGGATTCTCATAAAAGATAAATTATGAAAGTTCCCAATGGTATTGCAAGCAAATGAAATATGACATAACAAAGTAGAAATCTCAGCTTTTATGACCAACATTTATGTAACTCAACAAAAATTTCACAGTGCGCCATCAAATTCATAGGATTACGAGATAATCAAAATAAAGCACAACATGAACGAGTTAATTGCATTCAAACAAAAAGCTTAAGATTCCACACACTTCTTGATTCATATTGAGCCCATCTATTTACATTAATGTGATACAAAACTTCAAACGAAATACAAGAGAAAAATGGCAGGCTACATTGCTCGTAAAACCTGCCAAATTCATAGAATCAAAAGAAATAAAATTCAAATTTAAGGCCCAAATACCACCAAATTTTTTTTTGATTTGTTACTGATCCTAATTAGATCCATCCATTCACCCAAAAAAGGAAAAAAGAAAAAAGAAGAAGAAAAAGAGGGTTCCTTTATCCAATACAAAACCAAAATTGAAATCTACTAGCAAAAAACCCATTAGCAAATATTGAATCCATTAGCAATTATTATAAGAAAACAAGTACGTCAATTAACAAAAGCAAAACCGGGATCCATTAGCAAAAAAAGCCATTGTAATTCACCAAAAACATTCGTCCAAATATGCTTTGATTAATGAGACAAAAATTGAAATCCATGGAGAAGCAGCTAAAAGAACAGCCATTCCCAAAACTATTCACGAAATGGGGAAAATCCAATCTCCAAAAACATACAAGACCAAAATAAAACCCACTGAAAAGGAAGGAAAACCACAGGCAGTCGCAAAACTATATAAGAAATGAGGAAAACTCAATCCCCAAAACCAAAATCGAAACCAGATGTCAAGAATGAAACCAAAAAAACCAGCAGGCATTTCCAAATCCATTAGTAAGTATAAATCGAACTTAGGTCGATAACACACCTGTGCTTTGCTAATTTGAGACTGAATTCAGAGTCCATGTTGAGAGAGAGGGGCTCTGCAACTTCATAGGTTCTAGAACGCGTCGGCCATAATGAAAAAGCAGGCCGACAAGCAGACTTACAAGCGCGTTTGGGTACTTCCGCGAGAGCATTTTATATATTTACTCTCTCGGGCAAAGAAGCTAGTTACGACAAATTCTTCGACCTCAAATGAAATGAGTATTTTCCAACAAAATTAGATTTTAAGTTGGTGGTTTTTAATCCTAATTTCTAGAGAAAACATAGTGATCATGAATATAAAAAATAAATAAAATTTAAAAATTAAAAATAATAATTATATTAAAAAAACATTTCGATTGATAACGACAATTGTTTTTAGATGGACCATTTATTTACATCCATTTTTAAGATAGATGTTTTATATTTCTGGACTGCATTATATAGAAATGCGGTCAAAGCCGCATGCAACAATTGTTCTAATACCAAATATCACTATTATAGCAAATAACTTAATCCCAAGATTATATTAAGACCAATGAAGAAATAGAGACCCACAGACAGGGGATAGAATCATTTTTGAAGGAAACTCCTTAAAGAAACTAGGAAGGCTTTAGATGATTTCTAGAGACATGGATCATCAATTTTTGGATATGAATTGGCTGGTATTCCAGATTCACAAATTGTGTGGCATGCTTGAAATTTGTCGAGTTCAAAGTTTAATAGGAGTTAGTGAAGGATGAAATTCATCGTCACTCTAAGCTAATGATCCAACTCATTCGTTTTCAAAACTCATTTGGAATGAGTTTTTTAAATAAGATAGTATCAATGTTTGGACAAAGAGGGCGGTTCAAATCGGAACCGCACGGTTAGATTTGGCTAGTTTTGGTGAACCAACCGGATATTTTTTTTAAAAAAATATAAAATATAAAATCCAAAAAAATAAATGATTTTGTTTGTGATGCATTTGTTAATGTTTTTCATCATTTTGACAAAGATTGGAAATTGTTTTGGCCATTAATACTTATTTTTACATTTTTCTTTTTTTTAAAAAAATTCAAAAATACCCAAGGGCGCATATTGATTCATTAAATTTCAACTTTATTTGGATGTCTTTTTTTTAATCATGCTTTAAATACACTTTTCATATTTTATTAGATTTCTTTTGTATTTTTTCTTTTTAATAATTTTTGGACCTCCCCTTGCTCAGTTAGCAGTTGAACCGCTTTCGGCTCCATTATGTCTTATTAATCGTTCCAATTCCATTTTTCCTACACTGGATATGTAGTTCATGAAAAATGACTGCAAAACACAAACTAAGGTGCTAGTTATGATTGTGAAAAGATGATTGACGTTTTCAAAACCAACGTAGCAGAAACGGAAGACATACCTGATTAAGCATATAAGATCAAAAACTACACTTGATCATAGAGTTCAATTGCAAATTGAACTTAAACTTGAAATTGAAAATGAACTTCGATTTTGAATTTTAACTTGAATTCTTCTTCAATATTCAACTTGAAATTTGAATTGAAATTGAAGTTGAACTGGATTTAAATTTTAGAAAAGCACTTCAAACCATAATTGTACTTGAAATAAAAATCAAATTTAGAATTGGAGAATGAAATTGCACATGAACTTAGTCTTGAAATTGATCTTAAAACTCAATATTAAACTTGAAAAATTGAACTCGAAATTGAAATTGGAATAAATTTAATTCCATTTAAATTAAAATTTTGTTGAATTTGGAATAGAACTTGAAATCGTAATTGACATACATATTGTTTCAACTTGACTGGATGGCCATACCGTCCTTGAGAATAACACTTTTGAATATTCACTCTCAAACTTCACTAATCATCCTAATTAAGACTTCTAAGACTAGTCTCTCGTCCTGGGCTCACCGTAGTACCATCTGAGTTATGTATACAATTCAAGGCATTTAAAAAGGGGAAAATATCTCCATATCCCTTATTTTTAGGTTTCATTTCTTGATAAATCCAAAGTTTTAAAAGATAAATTATAACTATCTTGTCACTTTAAACTTATTTTTTAACCTAAACAAATGTGAGAAAGACATGTTATTTTTAAACCCAATCTTTTCTCTCTCTTCACTTATATACCCCCAAACTTTTCTCTCTCTCTTCTTAGGTGTCTCACTCTCTCTCCTCCCATATTTCTCCAAACACATCTCTCTCTCTCCTCCTGGTAACCTTTCAACTTTGGAGCTCTTCTCTCGCTCTAAAAGTTTGGGAGGATGGCTTTTAGAAAATGTATGTCTTTTAAAATTTGTTTGGCCAAAAAAAAAAGGTTTAAATTAGCTCAGGGGTTAGAAGAAATAAAAGCTACAATTTTTATTCCCCAATATATCTTTTAAAACATTGGGTTTATTGTGAAATGAAACCTAAAAATAGAGGGTAGGGAGATATTTTCTTTTTAAAAAATATCAAAATATTAAAAAATATTAAAAATAAAGATATGCTACACAAATTTTTCTTGCATGGTTTGATATATTTGGTAACGATTGGTGAGTGTTTTTTGTCATAATCACTATTTTATTTGTTAAGTATCCCAATTACAAATCATTTTTTTAAAATCTATTTTCTGTAACTTTTTAAGCTTGTTTCAACTTTTAAAGTTGTTTTTTGTTTGAATTTACTTTTAATACATATTTTTATTTTTCAAAATTTTTATAAATTATTTTAGGGCCTTTTGACCTTGCACTGAACTTGCTCCAGTCCTAAGAACTTGATTGTGTAACTTGCCTAAGTCTCGAGGACTCGCCTCAGCTAGGTGGCGAGTCCCCTGGCTGAGACGACTATCGACACACTATTTAAGACTTGAGAAGATTATCTTTGAATTTGCAAACCATGCTATGGTAACTAGCGAGACATTGTCCCAATTTTGATATTTTGCTATTCCTCTTCATGTAGAACTTCCTTGATTATCACTTTTCACAAAGTTTGTAGGCAACTATTCTATATTCTAAATGTTATCTTAATTTCCACTAATTCTAATTGTATTATTTATGATATTATTAGTATATTCCAAATTGTCCTTCAAAGATTCAATACAATCTCTTTTTGGCTCAGAGTTTCTCCTATTTTCTTTAGATCTCACGTAGTCTTCCCACTCATGGTCAATATGTTGGGTTTTTGTGACAATTAAAGGCTTTATAAGATCTTGTATAAGCATTTTATATAGTGAAACATAAACTCAATGGGAGTGTTGTCCTCTTGTGGATCATGCTAGGCAAATACTATTTGTTGATAGTTGGATTAGGCTCGACGTGCTAGGTCAGTCGAGTTGGAAAACCCAAGGTACCTGGGCATAAAGTTAAACCGATGGGGGTTCAGTGAGTCAACCCTCAATGAGGTCGGTGTTTGATCTAATGAGTGAGTCGAGGGACTGTGTGGTCCTTGCGTATGATAGTTGGCTTTTATGAACAGGTCTAAAACCTCATTATAGTACCAGTACAAGGCATGTACATAGATAGCCATACTAAGATAGTAATCCACCATTGAGAGTGAAGCATGTATATGTACAAGAGATTATCCCTATGCACCATGGAGCCGTGGTTGCATCACGGTCTGGAGGACCATGGATTTTTCTCTAGGATAGAACCTATAGTCTATAGATTAGGATTACGTCCCTTAGCCTATTAGTTGACTTTGGCGGCTTAATTATGAACCCTTGCAGTGGACTGTGGGTCATAAGAATTGCTAAGTCAATTTGAGAAAATTAGTGTGGATCGTAGTCCACAGTTGAAAGTGGAGTGCTCTAGTATATTGATAATTCCTAAACCTATATGGATCTAATTCCCATAAAAAATTAATTTGTTTTTAATTCATTTTTATGTTATATGATTTTTAAAATAATTATTTGAATTTTTATGATTCTTTTGATATTTATTTTATCATTTGGATTTATAAAATAAGAGAAAATTAATTTTCAATGTTGTAAATAATCAAAGAGAAATAAATTTTATTTTGTTCTAAATATCAATTTAAAATATTTATTAAAATATGTGGGACCCACCATGTGACATGACGGCTAATTTAAATCACATTAGAAGATTGGGTGGAGCCCATGAGGGCCCATCTATGGCACCCATGGGGGGCTCACTTACTAAATATTGTGCAAGTGCCTCCATATTAGTTGGCTTTCTATTTTTGTATGAAGCCTTCTTGCATTAGAAATCAATATAATGCAATTTAATATGTCTTGTTAATCAAAATATTTTGATTGAATGAATAAGGAATAAATATTCATTAAAAAAAAAGGAATGCAAATATTTTTTATTTAAATATTTATTGGAAATAGGTTTAGAAAATGGATGATAATGATCTATCACATTCATTTGAATATTGATAGTAAATCTAAGGAATTGATGACTCACATCTCTCACCCAACAAGTCTCATTAGATTAATGGTCTAGATTTGATCTGATTAAATATGGCAAACCCTAAGGCATAAAAAACCTATAAATGGGGTCCCTCCCCCTCATAATTCAGTATACCTCTTCTCTCTTCTCTCTCTAAGAGCTCTCTCTCTCTCGAAGCTCTCTCTATCTCTCTCTACGGGGCACACCCCAAGCAAGGGTTTTCTCTCTCTCTTTTTGGTTTTTGGTGGATTGAAAGGCTGCACGTGTGTCAATTCTAAATCCTCAAGAAAAATCTCTATATATTGATTAAGTGTCAAGAGATACAAAGTCCCCTATAAATATACAGCTAATCAGTTATTGATAATGACGAACTAATTTAGGCTTATCAAGAGAGATATATATATCAAATACAAGATAAATTAAAATTAAAAGTAAAAAGTATTCTCAACTATCTCTATCTCTACACTCCCCTTTAAATTGAGGTTGGGTGAACATCATCAGTTTGTCAATGAGATAGTCATGACGAGCACGAGTCATTGCCTTGATAAAAATATCTGTAAGTGGTTGTTGAGAGGTAAGATGTGGGAGTGTAACTTCTCCGGCCAAAAATTTTTCACGAATGAAATGACAATTCGCTTATCTATGAAACCCGGATTTGACGTAATACGTATGACGCTCATATTATCAACATACAAGTGTAGGAGTTTGACGAATAATATTGAGGACATGTA